TTTCCAAGGTTATAAAGCATTTGATTCATTTGTTTGAAGATTTAAGCCCAAATAAAGAACTTTGTTGAACTTATTTTGAGCCTCAATAGAACTTTGTGTTGGGAAATCTAAGGGGTCCTTCAGCCGAGGCACCCCGGCATCCCGTTGGGCATACAGAAGGCAGGTCCTGTAAACAGACATTATTTCAGGCCCAGCGTGTGACAGCACAAAGGTCATTTACTCGGCCCTTGCTCAGGGTCAACCTAAGTCTGAAATGACTTGAAAGCACACAACAACAACAACAACAACAACAACAGCAGCAGCAGCAGCAGCAATAATCCTATCTCATCAGGCCCTCAGTTCCCATTGAAATAGTAAAAAGTTTATATTTGTTAAGATTGTTCTTCATTTTAATTATTGTATTGTTGTTGGTGTTTTTGTTTTTTTTGTTTTTTACACTACAAATAAGATATATGCAGTTTGCATAGGAATTCATTCATGTTTTGCTGGAAGAAACATCAACAACCTCAGATATGCAGATGACACCACTCTGATGGCCGAAAGCGAGGAGGAGCTGAGGAGCCTTCTAACCAAGGTGAAAGAAGAAAGCGCAAAAGCCGGGTTGCAGCTAAACATCAAAAAAACCAAGATTATGGCAACAAGAATGATTGACAACTGGAAAATAGAGGGAGAAAATGTGGAGGCCGTGACAGACTTTGTATTTCTAGGTGCAAAGATTACTGCAGATGCAGACTGTGGCCAGGAAATCAGAAGACGCTTACTTCTTGGGAGGAGAGCAATGTCCAATCTCGATAAAATAGTAAAGAGTAGAGACATCAGACTGGCAACAAAGATCCGCCTAGTCAAAGCCATGGTATTCCCTGTAGTCACTAGGCCTGTTTGAGAGCTGGACCCTAGGGAAGGCTGAGCGAAGGAAGAGAGATGCTTTTGAGCTGTGGTGTTGGAGGAAAGTGCTGAGAGTGCCTTGGACTGCGAGAAGATCCAACCAGTCCATCCTCCAGGAAATAAAGCCCGACTGCTCACTGGAGGGAAGGAGACTAGAGACAAAGTTGAAGTCCTTTGGCCACATCAAGAGGAGACAGCAAAGCCTGGAGAAGACAATTATGCTGGGGAAAGTGGAAGGCAAAAGGAAGAGGGGCCGACCAAGGGCAAGATGGATGGATGGCATCCTTGAAGTGACTGGACTGACCTTGAAGGAGCTGGGGGTGGTGATGGCTGACAGGGAGCTCTGGCGTGGGCTGGTCCATGAGGTCACGAAGAGTCGGAGACGACTGAACGAATGAACAACAACAACAATCCAGCTCTCCAACAGTTTGAGGGACTGTGGGCTGGCCCTCTGTTTGAAAAGTTTGAGGACCCCTGATCTAGACACTATACTCCAATGGATGCAGCCTAGAATCACATTGGCTTTTTAAGCTGCTGCATCACACTATGGATTCATGTATAGCTTGTGTTTTACTAAAACCGTTAGATCCCTTTCACATATACAATTTTCAATTCAGGTGTCACCCCTCTTATATCGGTGCATTCTTTTCCTGCTTAAGTTTAGCACTGTACATCTCTCCCTAGTTAGTTTTGACCCAGCTCTCTACCTTCGTAACGCGCGGCATGCTGCAGTGCAATTGTAACAGCACACAAGGGCTTTCCGGATGCATGATGCAGCCCTCCGTTGCAAATGCACAGGCCTAGGAGATCTGCGGGGGAAGCTTGGGACCAAATCCAAGAGCCTTGCGCCTAGAGAGATAGCCGTCTTCCTTCACTGTCATCAATCCCCAGAAGCCCATGAGCACGATCTATCAGCTTCTCCCTCCCATCCGTTTTCCCTTGAAAGTACGTTTCTTGGAAAGGGCACGGAACAGATGCCGCCGCTTGAAAACAGGGAGCCGGAGAGCACAACAACAAGCAGCAAGGAAGGAAGGAGGTTTTCTGGGGGAGGCACTTAGCATGCCAGGCACATCCTCCTTGCCGGAAAAGAAAGGGTTGCCATAGAGCAGAGCACAGGTTTTGCAGATTTTACCTTTGCTGGTTTGATTTTTTGCAGATTTTTCATTTAACTATTCTCTCTAGTTAAATGAAACTAGAGAGAATAGGCTGTTAGGAATTGTGGGAGTTGAAGTCCAAAACACCAAGAAGGCCGAAGTTTGCCCATGCCTGCTCTAGGTTCTTCCATCCAATCCTATAACATTATGTAACACAGTAGGAATCCCACTGGAGCATTGCAGCACACCCAAATACCTGGGAGTCACTCTGGACCGTGCTCTGACCTACAAGAAGCACTGCCTGAATATCAAGCAAAAGTGCACTAGAAACAATATCATACGAAAGCTGACTGGCACAACCTGGGGATCACAACCAGACACAGTGAAGACATCTGCCCTTGCGCTATGCTACTCTGCTGCTGAGTATGCATGCCCAGTGTGGAACACATCTCACCACGCTAAAACTATGGATGTGGCTCTTAATGAGACATGCCGCATCATCACAGGGTGTCTGCGCCCTACACCACTGGAGAATTTATACTGTTTAGCCAGTATTGCACCACCTGACATCCGCTGGGAAGTAGCCAATAGTGAAAGGACCAAGGCAGTGACATCTCCAGCTCATCCCCTGTTTGGGTATCAGCCAGCACGTCAATGACTTAAATCAAGAAATAGTTTTCTAAGATCTACAGAGACACTCGTTGGAACAGCTCAGCAAGCAAGAGTCCAGAAGTGGCAGGCTCAAACCCAGAACCTCAATCAATAGCTGATACCAAATGAGAGACTCCCTCCTGGGCACACAGAAAACTGGTGACTTGGAAGGTGCCAAACAAACTGTGTTCTGGCACCACGAGATGCAGAGCCAACCTCAAGAAATGGGGCCACATAGTGGAGTCCACGACATGCGAGTGTGGAGAAGAGCAAACCACTGACCACCTGGTGCAATGCACCCTGAGCCCTGCCACATGCACAATGGAGGACCTTCTTATAGTAGTAACACCAGAGGCACTCCAAGTGGCCAGATACTGGTCAAAGGACATTTAATTACCAAGCTTGCAAACTTTGTGTTTTGTATGTTTGTTTGTTAAAAAATGCAATACAACTGTTTGCTTTGCTCCTGACACGATAAATAAATAATGTAACACAGTTTTTTTTCCTGGGTTATAAGTGTCATTTCCTAATTGGTTCTATCATTAAAAAAATAGAAAACATTTATTAAACTTCCAGAACTTGGTTTTTGCAGGACATTCTGCAACACATTTTGTTATAGTGTTTCAATGAATATCTCATTGAGTCTCAACCAATTCAATATATTTTGTGGCAGCCACAAAAACAAAGTTTCTGGAGAATAACAACTACTTTTGAAGTAAATACTGCACAATTAAACAGCAAGTAACACTTTCAAAACAGGAACATACATTTGTTTCAAATTTTGTTACGTAGTGTAATCAACTTCCAGTGCAATTCCAAGTCTAATTCCAGCTGCAGTGTGCTTGAAGGGCTTTAAACCAGAGTAGTAAAGGTAAAGGTTGATGCTCATCTCCATCTCTAAGCCAAAGAGCCGATGTTGTCCATAGACACATCCAGGGTCATGTGGCCAGCAGGACTTCATGGAGCGATGTTACCTTCCCGCTGGAGTGGTACCTATTGATCTACTTAGAATCATAGAATCAAAGAGTTGGAAGAGACCTCATGGGCCATCCCGTCCAACCCCATTCTGCCAAGAAGCAGGAATATTGCATTCAAATCACCCCTGACAGATGGCCATCCAGCCTCTGTTTAAAAGCTTCCAAAGAAGGAGCCTCCACCACACTCCGGGGAGAGAGTTCCACTGCTGAACGGCTCTCACAGTCAGGAAGTTCTTCCTCATGTTCAGATGGAATCTCCTTTCTTGTAGTTTGAAGCCATTGTTCCGTGTCCTAGTCTCCAAGGAAGCAGGACGCAAAAAAATGGCTTCAAACTACACTTGCATGCTTTCAAACTGCAAGTTTGGCAGAAGCTGGGGCTAACAGTGGGAGCTCACACTGTTCCCTGAATCCGAACCTGCGACCTTTCAGTCAGCAAGTTCAGCAGCTCAGTGCTTTAACCCACTGCACCACCGGGGGATAATGATGATGATGATGACGATGATGATGATGATGATGATGATGATAACAGCATCCTTTATCTTCCACTCTGTCTCCCCGAGGGGACTCAGGGCGTATTACAGTATACATATATGGCAAACATTGTGCCAGTGTACAACTGACAAGGACAGACAATACATAAACAGAGGTATAGGCTTTCCCCATCTTTTCCCATCTCCGACATCTGGGGGTGGTGCTCAACTCTGACTACAGGGTAGTGCTGTCACTCCATCTTCCATGCTGAGAAGCTTCTTGTTGTTCGTAAGCGCATGTCCTTATGGGCGCTTTTTATTGCTTCCCTGCTTAAAGCGGTACCTATTTATCTACTCACGTTGCTGTTTTCGACCTGCTAGGTGGACTGACGGCTAGGAACTGCCAACCTTTCAATTGGCAAGATTTTCTGCAGCTGGTGGTTAAAGCCCAGCCGAGGGATGCTCAGCCGAGGGATGCTCCGATATAGGGTCCTTAATGCACATCAGTGCTCTGCGGTGTGATACTGATTGTGAAACTGATTGAGGAACAGGTGCTCCGATGATCTGCATATGCACATTACAGAGAAGTGCTAACGCCATCCAGCCCTTGAAACCAGATCCAGACCTTGTTATTAATCCAGCTGTTCCCAACCATTTTTGGTCATAAACATATTATAAGAGTGGTAAATAATAGCCCCACTTGTAGCTGCCTGCCATATTTATTTTTCAAAACTTGGACAGAAATCAGTACTAATTTTTCAAGCCATGCCCTCCTGATTAAATGGCCTATAAATGTCATTTCCCAGGTGCCTGGACTGGGAGGGATGTCTCTTGCCGATGATGTAACTTTCTATTTTCCTCTCTTACATAGCAGGAAATGCCTACTTTTGTTTCACCTTTCTCTCCTTCCTTCCCTCCTCCAGTTTTCCAAGGACATCCTGGTGCACATTTACTCCGCCTACATAGATAACTTCCTCAATGCCAAAGACGCCGTGAGGATTGCCAAGGAAGCCAAGCCAGCCTTTATGAAGTTTCTGGAGGTAAGATACGAGCTCGGCTCTTCTGGCTGTGTTGGTGAAAATAAGAGGCAACTCATGGTGCATCTACACTCGCCTTGCAGCTTCTGGGATTCTTGGACGAAACTGATTATCTGGATCCGTCACAGTCCAGTTTCAGACCGGGACATGGAACTGAGACAGCCATGGTCGCCTTAGTGGATGATCTCCGCAGAGAGCTCGACAGGGGGAGTGTGTCCCTGTTGGTTCTCCTGGACCTCTCAGCAGCCTTCAATACCATAGCCCATGGTATCCTTCTGGGGCACCTTGCAGGGATGGGTCTTGGAGGGACTGTTCTGCAGTGGCTCCAGTCCTTCATGGAGGGTCGTACCCAGAAGGTGTTGCTGGGGGACTCCTGCTCGGCTCCACAGCCATTGTCCTGTGGGGTCTCGCAGGGCTCAGTATTGTCCCCCACATTGTTTAACATCTACATGAAGCTGCTGGGTGAGATCATCCAGAGTTTTGGAATTCAATGCCATCTGTATGCAGATGACGTCCAACTCTATCACTCATTTCCACCAGATGCTAAGGAGGCTGTCCAAGTCCTGAACTGGTGCCTGGCCGCTGTGACAGTTTGGATGAGGGCAAGGAAATTGAAGTTGAATCCAGACAAGCAGAGGTCTTCCTGGTCAGTCACAAGGCCAAACAGGGTATAGGGTCGCAACCTGTGCTGGATGGGGTCACACTCCCCTTGAAGGCACAGGTTCTCAGCTTGGGAGTTCTCCTGGATTCATCACTGAGCCTGGAATCCCAGTTTGCAGAGGTGGCCAGGGGAGCGTTTGCACAATTAAAACTTGTGCGCCAGCTGCGCCCGTACCTTGGGAAGTCAGAGTTGGCCACGGTGGTCCACGCTCTCGTTACATCCCGTATAGACTACTGCAACGCTCTCTACGTGGGGTTGCTTTTGAAGACTGCTCGGAAGCTTAAAATAGTCCAATGAGAGGCAGCCAGGTTAATAACTGGGGCGGCATACAGGGAGCATACAACTCCCATGTGACGCCAGCTCCACTGGCTGCCAGTTTGCTACCGGGCACAATTCAAAGTGCTGGCTTTGGCCTATAAAGCCCTAAACGGCCCCGGCCCAAATTACCTGTCCGAATGCATCTCCCCCTATGTACCATCACGGAGATTAAGATCCTCCGGGGAGGCCCTGCTTTCCATCCCGCCATTGTCACAGGCGCAATTGGTGGGGACGAGAGACAGGGCCTTCTCGGTGATTGCTCCCCGGCTATGGAACTCCCTTCCTTGTGAGATCAGGTCGGCCCCTCCCTCCTGTCCTTTAGAAGGATGGTAAAAACTTGGCTGTGGGACCAAGCTTTCGGGACAGGGCAATGAAGCGACAATGGGAAAGATGACAGGGTCAATTGGATTTGATGCGGATGGCTAGGACGGTTTTAAATTGTGTTGTTTTAAATGGTGTATTTTAATATTTAGATAAATGTTTTTTAATGTTTATGTATTGTAACCAGGCATTGAATGTTTGCCATGTATAAGTTGTGCTCCGCTCTGAGTCCCCTTCGGGGTGAGAAGGGCGGAATATAAGTGTTTTAAATAAATAAATAAATACACTGTGGAATGAATGCAGTTTGATGTCAGGGTGAATCACAGAACATACATATGCGGCAAAAATTCAATGCTGTTTTTATACATAGACAAACAATTATACATAGATAGAGGTCTGTGTGTATCAGCTTTTCCCATCTTTCAGCATCTTGGAGGCTTTATGCTCAGTAACTTTCCTCCTTTTTGATTGAATCCCCAGCATTCCTCATGGGCCTCAGAATACCTCCCTGCTTTTAAGTAATACCTATTTATTTATTGATTTATTTATTTCGTGCATTTCTACCCCACCCTTCTCAACCCCCGAGGGGGGGACTCAGGGCGGCTTACAAAAGGCACAATTCGATGCCAACAACAACAATAAAATAAAACATGTATCAAAAGCAATGATAAAACAATTAAAACAATCAAGTTATATATCACAATCAATAAAACCAATCTAATGTTCAACGTTCGCCAGCTCAGATTCCGTAAATTCATTCCACATTGTCAGATCCTACCAATTCTAGTCGTCATTGTCCTTTGTCTATCTGCCAGATTACCCAAAGGCCTGGTCCCATATCCATGTTTTTAGTTTCCTTCTGAAAGAGAGGAGGGATGTCGATGATCTGATTTCCCCAGGAAGTGAGTTCCACAGGCGAGGGGCCACCACTGAGAAGGCCCTGCTCCTCGTCCCCACCAGTCTCACTTGTGATAGAGGTGGGGCCGAGAGCAGGGCCTCCCCAGAAGATCTTAAACTTCGTGGTGGGACATAGAAGGAGATACGTTTGGACAGGTACGCTGGGCCGGTGCCGTATAGGGTTTCATAGGTCAAAACTAGCACTTTGAATTGTGCTCAGAATTGGATCGGCAGCCAGTGGAGCTGACGTAGCAGAGGAATGGTGTGCTCCCTGTATGACGCTCCGGTGATTAATCTGGCTGCCGCCCGCTGGACTAATTGAAGTTTCCGAACAGTCTTCAAAGGCAACCCCACGTAGAGTGCGTTGCAGTAATCTATTCAGGATGTATAATATGGGTTATAAGGTGCATTAGACCTAGGATAAAGCATAAAGTCCTAGAAATTTCATGATAAACAAGAGTCCTTGTACTTAGATGCTTATTCCCAGGATTTTTAGAAGGCTTTCATGAAATCTTCATCCATCCATCATTCTTTCGTTCTATTCAAATGTCCATAAACTTGATTCTGTAATGTCATTATCCTAGTTTATAGGTTTCCTTCTTGCCCTAAGTTCGCCTACATTTCCCTATCAGTCACATATATCAGTCTTCCCAACCAACAGCTTTCAAAAGTGTTGGACTGCAACTGCCATCATCCATCATCCAGAACTGAGTGGTAGAACTGCAATCATAAACATCAAGCCACTGTAATGGTCCTGCAAGTTAATACCAGTGTTTCAGCTATTCTTCCTCATATGCCTCCGAAACCTCCTTGTATATCTCTTATGGAGAGATCATTTTGCATTCACCTTTCCTTCTTCTTTCTTCAGCAAAGCATGAGGGAAAACAAAGAGAAGCAGGCCCTCTCGGACCTCATGATCAAGCCCGTGCAGCGCATCCCACGCTACGAGCTCCTGGTCAAGGTGAGTCAAACACAACTGACCTTTTTTGGTGTTGTTTTATGGCAGAGCAAAGCCTGCAGTTGGCCAAGTATATTTTCAGGTTTGGCATTTGCAGATTTGATTATACTATGCAACCTCCGTAGCTTGGGGGTCCTCCTGGACTCAACGCTGTCACTTGATGCTCAGGTGTCAGCGGTGGCCGGGAGGGCCTTTGCACAACTCAAACTTGTGCGCCAGCTGTGACCATACCTCATTGTCGTGACCCACAGAACACAGAATGTCTTAAACAGCAGTTGAGGTGCAAAATAGTAGTATTTTAATGCAAAACAAACTAAATGAGGCACTTTAAAAGTCAGTGCAAACAGTTCAAAAGATGTTTTCAAACAGGAACACAAACCTGACTCACAACACCTCATGAAGTCTGACTTGGCCAGGGTGATCCACACCTTGGTTACATCCAAACTGGACTATTATTATTATTATTAATAATAATAATAATAATAATAATAATAACAACAACAACAACAACACTTTATTTGTACCCCGCTACCATCTCCCCAAGGGACTCTGTGTGGCTTACATGAGGCCGAGCCCAAACACAACAATACAAGCAATAATAACAACAATACAAGCAATTAAAAACACAGACAATAAAATGCACAACATTATCAATAAGACAACACACAATTAAAAACAGTGGGGAGGCCAAATGTAGAGTTAAAATTGGAAATAATGCTGGGACATGGACGGAAGGTGATACTGGTGTTTGTGGAAGGGCATACGAGCAGATCTAAAAAGTGTAAAGTACTTTGGAGGACAAAGTGCTATGGGATCATTATTCCAGGAAGGCACACTGGAACAGCCACGTCTTCAAGCTCCTCCGGAAGACTGCCAGAGTTGGGGCCTGTCTGATGTCTTTAGGGAGTAAGTTCCAGAGTCGAGGGGCTACCACCGAAAAGGCCCCCTCTCTCATCCCCACCAATCACGCCTGCGATGCTGGTGGGATTGAGAGCAGGGCCTCTCCAGATGATTGAAGGGATCATGTGGGTTCGTATACAGAGATGCGGTCACGCAGGTAGGCGGGTCCCAAACCGTTCAGGGCTTTGTAGGTAAGAACCTGCACCTTGAATTGGGTCCGGTAGATGAATGGCAGCCAGTGGAGCTCCTTGAACAGGAGGGATGACTGCTCCCTGTAAAGAGCCCCAGTTAACAACCTGGCTGCCGCCCGTTGGATCATCTGAAATTTCCGGGCCGTTTTCAAGGGCAGCCCCACGTAGAGTGCATTGCAGTAATCCAGTCTAGTGGTGACTAAGGCGTGGACCACCTTGGCCAGATCCGCCTTCCCGAGGTACAAGTCTTAATTGCGCAAAGGCCCTCCCGGCCACCACCGACGCCTGAGCCTCAAACGTAAGTGAAGAATCCAGGAGGACCCCCAAACTGCAGACCTGTGACTTCAGGGGGAGTGCAACCCCGTCCTGCACAGGTTGCCACCCTATACCCCGGTCTGGTTTACGATCGACCAGGAGGACCTCTGTCTTGTCGGGATTAATCTTCAGCTTGTTCGTCCTCATCCAGATAGCCACAGCGATCAGGCACTCGTCTAACACTCGAGGGGCTTCCTTGAAGTTAGTTATTGCAATGCACTCTACGTGGGGCTGCCCTTGAAGATGGCCTGGAAGTTTGAACTGGTACAACGGGCGGCGGCCAGGCTCCTTACTGGAGCAAACTATAGGGAGCATACAACACCCCTATTAAAACAGCTTCATTGGCTGCTAATAAGTTGCCGAGCCAAATTCAAGGTGCAGGTCATGACCTATAAAGCCCTAAACGGTTCAGGCCCCGCCTATCTCCGTGATCGCGTCTCCTTCTATGACCCGGCACAAGCTCTAAGATCTTCCAGGGAGGCCCTCCTCTTGGTCCCACTATCGTCTCAAGTGCGGTTGGTGGGGACGAGAGAGAGGGCCTTCTCAGTGGTGGTCCCCCGCCTCTGGAACGCCCTTCCAAGGGAAATAAGACAGGCCCCATCCCTCCCCTCCTTTCGTAAGAGCTTGAAGACCTGGTGGATTCAACAAGCCTTTGAAAATGACCAGTTCTAACTCAGTCTTACACATTGTCGAATGAGGCCTAATTATTCCTACCAATTACCCAGATCACTTCTTCTAATCGACCCCGGAATGAACAGAGAAGAGAAGGCTGAGAGGAGATATGAGAGCCATGTATAAATATTTGAGAGGAAGCCACAGGGAGGAGGGAGCAAGCTTGTTTTCTGCTTCCTTGGAGACTAGGACGCAATGGAACAATGGCTTCAAACTACAAGAAAGGAGGTTCCATCTGAACATGAGGAAGAACTTCCTGACTGTGAGAGCCGTTCACCAGTGGAACTCTCTGCCCCGGAGTGTGGCGGAGGCTCCTTCTTTGGAGGCTTTGAAAAAGAGGCTGGATGGCCATCTGTCGGGGGTGTTTTGAAGGCAATTTTCCTGCTTCTTAGCAGAAAGAGGTTGGACTGGATGGCCCACGAGGTCTACTCCAACTCTAGGATTCTATGATCCCGGAAGGAATGTATTGCAGTCACCATTTTCCATGCTTTCCCATTAGTATGGAAGAAAGCCAGTCAATAAATGTAAAAGATACATATCTCAAAAGATTTTTTAAAAATTATGTACATATAATGTGTGTACATAAGTGCATATGAAGGCATGCCAATCCACAGATTTAGTTACATCTGCAGAATGGAGGCAGAAGGCCTTCTCCGACCATGTTTCTCTGCTTTGCATTACAGTCTTGAATACAAATGCCCAAAGCTGCTATTTGTGCAAACAGAGTTGATGGGGCAATAAATGCTCCATTTCAAGCATCATTGAGCTCACAGCCTACCTTTGGCATTAGGCCTATGGCAGCGCTTTTGCACATTGAGGCAGCAACCTGGCTCTTTAGCCTGTAGCTGTTGCCTCTTTACTTCCAACATAAGCTTTGCAACATTCACACCTCCCTCCAACAGACAAGAGTTCTTTCTCCCACCCTGGACTTTCCACAGATATATAAACACCATTTTCCTAGTTTCCAGCAGACCTCACAATCTCTGAGGGTGCCTGCCATAGATGCGGGCGAAATGACAGGAGAGAATGCTTCTGGAGCATCGCCATACAGGCTGAAAAACTCACAACAACCTATTATAAGCTTTATTTGCATACTAATAATAATAATAATAATAAAAGTACACACACACAGCTTCGAACTGGCAACCTTTTGGATAGACAGGACAGAGATCGACAGAACAGAAAGGAGGTATGTTGTGTCAACATCCAGCTTTTTGGCACCTTTGGAGGTTGTGCTCGAATCCAGCCACAGGGGGTGCTGTCGTTTCATCCTCTATGATGAAGAGCCATCAGGACTTCCTCCTTATTTTATTTATTTATTCATTTATTTATTTATAGCATTTTTACCCCACCCTTCTCAACCCCCAGGGGGAGGGGGACGGACTAAGAGCGGCTAACAAAGGCAGCAATTCGATGCCGCAAATCAATAACACAGTATAAAACCATAAATAAATACAGAGTTAGAACAATAGGAATTAATTATAACCAAATTATCATAACAGTCATTAAAACAATAAACCCATTGATAGAACAATAAAACCGTATACTCATATATATCGTCTTGCCAATCCATTTCCAGTCAAATTTGTGGCTCTGAAAAGAGCCTTTTGGTCGCCAGGCGTTTTTGGGTCTTTTTCTTTATGGTATCGTAAAATACCTCCTCCGCTTGTTTTAGCGGTACCTAATTTCTCTACTCACAGCTCAAGCTGTTTTCAAACTGCTTAGGTAAATGATAAGGTAGGCTGACAGTCGGGAGCTCACGCTGACCTGGGGCTTTGAACTAGCAACCTTTTAGTTGGTAGATTTTATCGCTTCTGGTGATTTACCAGCTGTGCTAGAGCCCGGCCCAGCAGTGCATTTTACTGTCTCAGCAGGTACTAATCATCTATCTGTTTCAGTTGGTATTTGCTTGTAAAAATTACAAATGTATTGTCAAAGGCTTTCATGGCTGGAATCACTGGGTTGTTGTAGGTTTTTCGGGCTATCTGGCCATGTTCTAGAAGCATTCTCTCCTGACATTTCACCTGCATCTATGGCAAGCATCCTCAGAGGTTGCTTGCCATAGATGCAGGCGAACGTCAGGAGAGAATGCTTCTAGAACATGGCCAGATAGCCTGAAAAACCTACAACAACCCAGCTATAGTGTATGTTGTCTTTTCCTTCAGTCGTGCTTATTTCTCTTTGCTTTATCCTTGCCTTGGCTCTGTTTCTCACACTGGAATGGATTCTAGATTGCAAACCTCTTAGGGCATAGACCTGTGCATTTGGTGGAGCATCATACGTTTCCTTGGAGATGATATAAACAATAAACAAACAAACATTTACTGGAAGCTCTTCAGTTTTGAGCAGGCTGAGTGGGAAATGACAGGAATGCTCGTGTCAAGAGGTTCAGGATGACAAAGGCATTCATAATAATTGGTTTTTTTGAATGGAACTTATACAGTACATTATCTTCCAGACTGTTGGTGGAAATGCACTATCTATCTGTCTGTCTGTCTGTCTGTCTGTCTATCTGGTTTTCAATCAGGGGAACAAAGCAGAAAAGATTTTTTACTTCTTTATTACATACAAATAAATGGACCAATTCAGAATGTGTGAAAAACCTACCAACTCTCTAGAAATCTTTCGATCATCTGGGGAAAATCTATACAGGAAACTAACTATATTTTCATCCTGGAGGACTTAGAGCAGTGTTTCTCAGTCTTGAGATTAGGAACCCCATGGAGGTCACGAGCGGTGTGTTTGAGGGGTCTCCAAAGACCATCAGAAAACACAGTATTTTTTGTATTGTCGAAGGCTTTCATGGCCGGAATCACTGTGTTGTTGTAGGTTTTTTCGGGCTATATGGCCATGGTCTAGAGGCATTCCCTCCTGGCGAAACGTCAGGAGAGAATGCCTCTAGACTATGGCCATATAGCCCGAAAA